GGTCTGGTTTAGAACACTTAGCCCATAACTATTAATAATCTAAGCATGCTAATTTCAGAGAGATTAACAGACTGTGTCATCTGAAGATAGCCAGTTTCTTTCTATTCAGAGTCCAGCACTTGTACAACTAACTCAGGAGTCCGTGGGACTGTAAGTAGTTAATCCAAACACATTTACATCCTTAGGATTGGTCTTCAGCACTGAAAAACCTTTCACTTTTCGCAGCCTTTTAAATCATGGTGAGTTTTTAAGAAGGCCTTCAGCATTCTAGATTTACAGCCGGCATGTCGCAGGTGTTTACCAGCAAGTGTTCACTCAGGAAAATCCACTTTCTGAATGAAAAGTAGAATATTACACAAAAGCAAACATTACCACTGGCAAGGTAAAGATCACCTCTTTGTCTCATTCACTGAGTGAATCAAATCTCTCTTACCCTAAATCAATAGAGGAAAGGAATGAATTCCCTTTAAAAAAAGAAAATTAAATAAGACAGACTTATTCCTCCAGAGCTCTTATTCTGTTACCAGCTTATGCTGTTGTGAATTAAGTTATTCTTTAGAGCACTTGTACAGTCATTTTGGGGATTCTAAGCTTTTCACTCTAGCTACTTCTCAGTGCCTTTGTTTTCCAATATGAATCTAGGAAAACTTCCAAATAAGATAATTCTTGCTTAGGTTTACACTTCATTGCCTTGATTATGCTATTTAGGAAAAAAACACCCCAGTCTTTTTATATCTGGCAAAATTTCTTACTGATTTCCCCCATCACTCGAATAGCTTCTTTGATTGGACTTGTATCTTTAATTTCCATCTCTATTGCTATATTATTTCTTCCTCTTATTCTTTTCCTGTAATATCAGTGTGTCTTTGTATCACATACTTTCTATTTAAAGAAACAGCTTTCCTAATTCCTTTTTTACTTCAGGTGCTGCTTGCATTTCTGCATTTTTTCTATATGGAACTTCTCCTATTAGAAAAGCCCCACTTGCTCCATGCCTGTTCTCCTTCTGACTCCTCTCCTTTGGCTTCTGCCACAACATTTTGTGGCTCAAGCATCTGACTCTTGTAACTAAACTGACCACTCAGATAAATTTCTTTTTTTAGCATTTGCTTTAGGTTTTTTTTTTTCCCCTCCTTAATTCAATGCTACTTAAATTGGCTTCCTAGAGCCAGAAAGTTGGCATGCAGTACTGGTTCTACCTACTCAGCTCTGATGTCAGCCCTTCTGCATGAAAGTTTCAGCATCTCAGGGGGTCGTATGCCATATACACTTTGATTTCTTATTTTGTGCACGTCTCCCACTCTTTATCTTCTTCACCTCTAACTCAACTCTTTTTTTTTTTTTTCAAACTGTATGCTCCACTAAGGTCATCTTGACAGCAGGAAGTGAAGCTTTGGTATGATGCATTGACTGTGCCACAACCACTGAAAAAGCCAGATTTAGTACTTGAGAGTCTGTTAAAATAGGCATCTTCTATGGAAACAAGAAGAAGCTCAAGAAATAGTCTCTCTTGGAGATTCTGAGAGATTCTTCTCTCTCTGTAAATCTTACCATAAAAACCAAGTACAGTATCGTATTTCCTAATAATCACCATCTCTGGCGTGATGTTTTATTCTGGCATGATGTTTTGAAGAATGATATCCAGAGATTTCCTTATGAAAAAAAGTACATACTACAGTCATCTTGCAATAATATCTAGAGAGCTGAACAATATAATTCTTCAGCATATTCAGGTTTTCATTTTTGTGAATCGGAGTACATACAGGTGTCTTTATTTGTAATCATTGTTTTATGATCAAAAAGTGAAAAAGATATTGATACATGCGCATAATAGTTTTAATGGGAATTGTAGGTCCAAAGCAAGGACTACCTTCTGAAGGAAACTGGAACATGCATAGTATATTTTGTATACTGTTAATTCTAAACTGATGTTGGCAATGACTAAGGGAAGGGGTTTTATTTCCTTCTCAAAGAGCTCCCATTTAAAAGAGACCTTATGGCACCACTGAGAATCTTTGTCTTGACGAATGAATCAACATGTTTGTTTATTTATTTGCTCTTGATGTAAATTGAGTCTGTCCTTATTTCTTTGTTTACTGAGAACTGAGCAGTCCAGGACAAAATTAATTAGTGGCAAACTTCCTTTCTAGGAGTGTTCTCTCTAGAGATGAGAAACCTGTAATTTTCTACATATTTGGGATGAGTTTGAGTAGCAATTTTGGTATATGTTGCTGGAAAACTTTTTATAGCAGAACTCTGTTTACTCTGAAGGGTCCTTTCTTCTCTTCAGATTTTCTTCCAGCATCTTTTCTCTGAAGTTCTCATTTCTATCTTGATTTCACTCATGTGTTACCTTCTTTCAAGTTCTACCAAGTTCCAGCTCTACATATTTCGGTTTTCTGCAGTATTCTGCACACTTAAGCTTATATGTACTAGAAATGAGAAAAAAAAATCCTTATACAAAAACTTTGCAATGATCTCTAGGATCTTGAAGTGTATAAAGATCAACATAATACATAACCGCTCAGACATTCATTCTTAGTTTAGAATCACTTGGTCTTTAATTCTTATCTTAACTTGTACAACTTGTACACAGCGTTGGTAAAATATCTGTCCTGTAAAGTTATTGTCAGAGAGATAAGAAGTAGGACCTGTCATAGCAAATACAAGTTTTATGTGTATCAAACTGTATTTCTTGTTTCTAAAATGGCTGTTTATCCTCCAGCTGCGCAACTGTGACATCCAAGTATGTTGTGATGGAAGTACAGCAGTCCTAACCAAGATTTTTATCAGCTAGATTTCCAGGAAAAAAAACTTTGGAAAAAGCAATAAGTCAGTTTGTGTCTTAATTGTTTTTATACACTCCTGAAAAGACCAAAAGTCAAAATATAGACAGTGCTATGATATTTCGTTTCGTGTCTTTTTTTTTGACTAAGAACATTTATTTACAGCAGCAGTGCAGTGGGAGGTTATTATGTGAGACTTTCTTTACTTCAGAAAGCTTGCAGTTAGGATGAAACACAACTTGATAGATACAATGTACGGACAGCATGGGAAGGTGAAAAGGTACATGATAACTGTGCAGTCGTATTTCCAAAAGTCTTCAGTATTTGGCAGTTTTGAAATACATAAACAAGAAAGGCATAATTTCAGTCACTTCTTGCTACCAACCTAGTAATTTAAAAGACATTTATTTATTAAAAGTGTATGTGTATGTTACTGCTGTTCATAACAAAGAAAAACAGAGAAATTTATAGAAGATAGCTATCAGATTTTTATTTAAATTGAAGACCTGTCAAAATACAGCATACAGTGTCAGCAATTCTCTTCGGAGTGTTAGGTTGTATCATTGCTGTTCATGTCAAATTGTCATAACATGCCTGTCATTGCCTCTTTCAATTAACCTTAAAACCAAGTCTGAGAATTATACAAGGAACAAAGTTTAAACAGAATCCTTACATTTAGGAATACTGTCCAGGAGCAATCATTCTCTCTTGGTGTTGATGAAATTGTCTGGGTATGAAGAGTCCTCCAGTGATTCATAATAGCTGGATTTCTTTCCAGCTACCAAAGCCTTTGGCAGTAGCTTGTTGTCACAGCCAGTTCTCTAATAATTTACTGATAATAAATTCCCTAGAAAGTATGTATTTTTTTGTCTGTTATTTACAGCTGTACTATGTTATACTATAGTTGAGGAGCTACTTTTTCTTCCATCTTGCATGATCTTAACAAGGAATCCTTGCAGTAACTGTAGAAGTTGGAGGATGGCACTTTAAATCACAATAGTTTCATATACAACATTCACTGTGAAATGTAGGTCACTGGAACAGGCTCCCCAGGGAAGTGGTCACAGCACCAAGCCTGTCAGAGTTCAAGGAGTGTCTGGACAACGCTCTTAGTCATATGGTTTAGTTATAGGTAGTCCTGTGAGGAGCAGGGAGTTGGACTTGATGATCCTTATGGGTCCATTCCAACTGGAGATAGTGTATGATTCTATGATTTCTGTTGCCTTACACCACATGTCTGAAACCTATATCTACACCCTTCTTTACTTCTTTCATCTATCCTTTATTTTTGTCGTTCAGGATGTATGTTTTTGGGGGCAGGGACCATTCACTATTCTGTTTAGAGGAGCACAACCTATTGTTGACATTCTGTGGACGTAGTGGATTTATATGTGAATAAATTTTATATGCCTCTACAATAAACCACTTACACTTTTCTTTTGATTTTCTTTCTCTGGGAGTAAAGCATAAATAAGCAAGTTTATTGCCACCATTTCCTTCCCTATTTAAGCTGTAGTCCTGTACTCTTATCCTTGCTCTTGTTAAGTATTTTTCTTTTCTGATAAAGCACAGAACTGGTACTACATTCTCTTACTTTTTCAATGTCTCTTTCCTGTGCTTCCAGAAAACTGACAAACTTCCACACTGAAAATCCCTTTTCCCCCATCCAGAACTGCCCTTTTTCATTTCCCGCACCTCATAAGCAGCCTCTTATTCTGTATATCACTTTGTACCTCTTACTATTTCAATGGTCGATGTCATATCAGGGATGGAAAGATTTGGGGGTATTAAGTATTGCTGAGGGCCCAGCCATGCATGCTAAGAGCTGAATTTGGACAGTTCACCTTGACAGATGAAATAACATGCAGTTTCTGTAAATGATGTGGTGTTAAGTTATTAAATTATTATTAATATAGTTTTATGTTAACAATGAGACTGGTAGCAGAATATCACAAAGGACTTTTCTACTGACAAGACCAAGTGCCATCTCGACCCATTATGATTCTGTGATATCAACACTGCTATGTCATTCTTTGAATATGCATGTGCTAAGAAAACTGTATTTTCTACCTTGCTGCAATAGCAAACCTTCTATAATCTTCAGTGCTCTTTGTCAACAGTATTTTTCCCCAACATTGTGATAACTGCAAGGCTGTGTCATTTTTTGGTGTCTATTTCTGCATTCCAATTCACCTATCTGATTTCTCCTTTAAGGTAAATAATTACAGTTTAGAAGAAGTTACTCATGAAGAGGCAGTAGCGATACTGAAGAACACATCAGATGTAGTGTATCTGAAAGTTGGAAAGCCCACCACCATTTACATGACTGATCCATATGGCCCACCAGATATTACTCACTGTAAGTGACTACTGCAACTCATTTTGTAGGAGATACCTGTTTGTCAGATGATTGTGGTTTTTTCATTGCTTGTCCAAAGTACCCAATTAAAGTTTATGGAACAGCTTGGAAGGCTACAAAAATGAAATGTTTATTGCCACTTAAGTATGCTACAGTCATGAAATATTACAAATAATATAATTCTGCTAAAGTATTTTTGCAGCAAAAGTTACAATGTAGCTGATGTACTGCTGTGCTGATTCCAATTAGCCATTGTCCAGGTGATCAGACTGAACTGTAATTCTTGTGATAATTACAGTAATAAGTATATGCAAATATATTTTGAAATATGATTAGATTTGTAGTCTGCAGTCCTCTGTCCACTGAAAAATCAGAACACACAGCAAACCATCTTGTACAAACTAAGTGAAAAGCCTGAGGCAAATATCTATCATATTTGTATAAAATATTTACTTGGAATGTAAAAATCTCTGTTCTACTTAAAAAAAATTACCTATTTTCTGTGTATATCCAATTCCTAAATTATTGTTTCACTTTGCTTTATTCTCAGTCTGTCCATTAACTTTATATATGTTCATCTGCTATTTTTTCACTGAGGACCAAGGCCTTATTTGTCCTTGCATTCAATGTACACTCTGTTGTAGGAAAAGTTGTTGAAACAATATGGTAAAGCTCAGTGAAGGATCTCATAGGAAGGGAAGATGATTTTATTTTAGAACAAACCTATTTCAATCAGGCTGTCATATCCACACTCTCAAAATCATCTAGGCTCATGTCCAGCATTCAGGTAGAAAGACACGCATCCAGGCGCATTGCCAGGACTCCCTGAGATGACCAAGTACAAGGGTGGGTGGCAGTGGAGTCTTTATCATACACATGTACCTTCTTATTATGTTGAAAACCTCCTTGCTGATGTGCTTTTTGTACCGGTAAGGAGATCACAGCAATTAGGATCTTCTGTCTCTCCCATCTGTCCCACCTAGCTGTCTTCAGGATTTACTCACTTCTCTTTTGTCTCCTTATCTGTGTGTACTAGGCTCCAGTCTAGTCTTTATCTCCTGCCATCACCTCTTAATGGCTTGAGTCTTTGTTTTAGTTTGGGTGGAGGCTGTCCTGACAAGTTACAAGTAGTTATGTTGAGTATTGATGACCTATTGATGGATCTAGGTGCTATCAGTACATGCCAGTCCTCCTGGTGTCCATAGGCAGGCATTCCCATTCCCTTTTCATTCACAGCAATCTGAACATTCAGTTGCAGCTCTCTATACCACTGGTGTCTGTTAGTCTAAACAGTTCATTATTGAAACTCCGTTTCTTTGTTTAGCTGTTCATTAAAAACTGTCTGCCTTGGGTTCAACTATCAACAGGGACCAGCTGCACCATCTAATAACTGGATGGCAGTTTAATATTTGAGAAGAGCTGCAGCAACTGATCCATACCCATCTTGATCTCCTGCTAATAATCCTAGGGGCACTTAAGGCCAACCAAGGACTGCGAAAGGCAGATTTTTCCAGTAAATGCTAGAGATTTAAATTTTCCTGCACTTTTGCATAGTGTTTCTTCTGTGGACTGATAAAGTTGAGGGAAAAGCTAAATATCCATAATCCTCCTTATTTAGACTGCTCCATAAAAATAGAAGGCAAGGTTTTGTAACATGCACGTCAGGTGGTATACTCAACTGTGCTGAGGATACCTATTTAGTTAGCAAATGTTACAACAGATGGCAATCATGTTGTTCAGTAGCAGTCTGGTCTGGATCTTAGCAAAGCCCAAGAAGTAAAAATGCTAAATGTCTCTATCCAATCTCCTGCTTTATAATACTTTCCAAAATAATAATTTGGGAGCTCTAAACCAGTGTGTTTTATTATGTCAGATTATAGATCAGCAGCATATGAGAAGACAGAAGTAATTCCAGAGGGAGAGTAAAGGTTGAAAAGATTTGCAGTAGCCCATCCCAGGCTGTTGGTGCATACGGATTCATTTATCCTCAGGGAACCTTTCATTATACCTACACGTTCAGAGTGTTTCAGAACGGGTAACGGCCTTTCCCTGTAGAGACATTTTGCTTTGAAACATTCTGTATCTCAGCATCTGAAAGAAAGATGGAAACTAATACTAGAAAGTTTAGCTGTCTTCTCATGAGAAAATTAATCATAGCTCATTGCAGAAGCACGTATCATTGTTTTCCCTATTTATCATTTCCTTTTCTAATTACATTAACTAGAGATTGAATACAACTATTACTACATCTCTCCAGTCATAAATATCCCCAGTAACTTCAAAACAGGAAAAAGTAAGCAAAGAACAAAACCCACAGACCCAATATAGAATCAGACAGCATAGTCCTGTAATTTCCATTATTAATCATTAATATGTAAGAGACTTGTATCCAGTTTCTGTTTTAAATAGACAGATTTACTATAATCTAAATACCATCTATGTTGGTACTGAAATTTCAATTATATTGGGAATTCTGGCACCTTTAGTGCATCGCAGCTGTAAATCTTCACCATACATAATTCTTGCCATACATAAAATTCCTGCTCCTATCCTGCATTGAGCTCTTTACTATATTATTCGCATTGCTGTATAGTGGAGCCAAAAAGAGGAGTGTGCTTTTAATCTCATTCTCTCCTCTTTACATTTCCTTCTTCAAGTCAGTCCTAATTTAAGAAAATGTTTCCTGTCTCCCAATCTATCCTTTCTTATTCAGATCCCCTCTAAAGAGTCAATCCCTGCAAATGAGCCAGCATTATTATTATTATTATTATTATTAACCTTTCAGGAAAACTTCAGCTGTTCATTCTTCCTTGTTATATTTTAAGCTCTCGCAGGCAAGGACTGTCTGTTTTGATGTTATTTACAGCAATGAGCTCGTTCTTGGTACTTAACTAAAAAATGGTGCTCTTGTGACATCTAATAAAACGTGAAAGTGGCTAACTAGAGATGCTTATTCTTACCCTCAGCTTATTCTCCACCAATGGAAAATCATATACTCTCTTCTGGAAACAATGGCACTTTAGAGTACAAGGCATCCCTGGCCCCTATCTCACCGGGAAGATACTCACCCATTCCAAAGCACATGCTTGTGGAGGACGACTACACCAGGTCAGATGCTTCTCTTTATTTGTTACCTTTCATGACAATTGCAAAGGACATAGGTAAGGCATTAAGTGCACCTCAAAAAGAATATGGCATATAGTTCTTTTCACCCGTGTTCAAGGGAAGATGAATCGAAACTGTTAACAGGTCTGAAGACAACTAAGAGAAAGATCACAGGAATGAATGCTGACCTGAGGGCCATGTTGTCTGGGTGCAATCCTGCACTAGTTCCTAAACAACATGGCTGCACTAGAACAATGCTGGCACTGAGCAAAATTTTCTGCTTCTTAACACATCTAGGAGATCTCAGGATCAGTGACTCATCCAGCTCACTGCATGTATGGGTGGAGGGACTGTATGTGCATCTGTACCTGTCCGTGACAGTACACTCTGAAAGGTCCAGCTTGTTTAGTTTAGTGAAAGCGAGGCTGAAATAGCCTGTAATTGCTCTGTGTACACACATTGAAAGATAAATGTTATGGAGAGAAAACACTATGGGAAAGGAAAGAAGATGTACAAACTAGCTGCAAGTAAATATAGGAGGCACACTGGAAAAAGTTTTTTAACCATTAGAGCAATCATAATATGAAACAGTTTTCTGTGAGAGCACAGAGGTTAAAAGGAAGCTGTTTATGCAGTGGCACTCCATACCTTTATAAAAGGGCTTCTTTGATGTGATTATCAGCAAAAATTACCCTGGAAATTACTTCTAATGTTTTGGGTTTTTTTAATAATTCCAAAAGACTTGTGACTGCTATATGGAAATATGGTAGGAGAATTGTATCTATGTAGTTGATTTCCAGGTAGAAAAGACACATAGAAAGGTGCTAGGAGGGTTCTTTTATGCCTTGTGTTAGATCAACACTGAATGTCACTGATGAGGCAGTATTTATTTATCTTTTTGTTTGAAGAGCACTACCGTTCACTTAGAAGACAACAGTTGTTAAGTTTGTAAAATGAGCCCTCATTATAATGTCTAGTGCCACAGAAAATGAGAAATTAATTTTTTTTCTGTGCTTCAGTATTTATAAATTCATTGTATTTAAAGCTAGGAGGAGGCTGTTCTGATCAACTAACCTGACCTACTGTGTATCTCAAGCCGAAGAATCTCATCCAGTTATGTATTCATCAGCTTCATAACTTGCTAATTTGCATTTCATTTCTCTTGTTGCATATGATTATGATCTCAAGCTGCTTAACTTGTTGGATCAGACAGATTCAGAGTAACTAAATCATGATACAGTGTTTAATCAGGACAAATGTATGGAAACCACACCTTGCTTCACTCTGTTGGCTAAAAGCATTTCTCCTTTGTTTTGATTGAGAATGCAAAGCTGACATTGCTTTCCTTCAACTTATGAGACATTCAATTAGGATGAATTTTCTCCAAAGGGTTTCAAGAAGTTACATTTTTTAATTAATAGTTAAAACATTGATTTCATTAAATTGTGCATCAAGGCTTTACCTGGGCTACTACTGACCTCATAATTTCTAAAATGCCTGTGTATATGACAAATACCAATATAGTAGCTACGTTACAATGATGAAGGCTTTGTCAATAAGGTTGTAGTGCTGAATTCTCTCCTTCTGTAATGAGATGTCAGCACCATTATTACTGAGAAAGAGTTGGCAAAATTTAAGAACAGCAAAAAAATGCAACCTTAAAAGTAGATTATAGCTAAGGAGACCAAGAAGTCACAGAAAGTGAAAGAAGTAATCCTAAAAAAGGAGAAAGGCTGCCCTGAGAATTAAGAGAACATTTAAACAGTTAGAAGACCTGTAAGGTAATGAAGAAGTATCTTTAGACAGTCCTCTGTTTCTTTGTGTTCCATGCAGATGATTTTAACTTTCTAATTGCTTCTACCAAAAAAAAAAAAAAAAAAGAAAAGAAAGAAAAAATAGTCATAGAAGAAAAGGCAATGACAGTCCTAGCCCATTAGTTCAGTAGATATCCAGTAGAAAGCATACTTGCTCAAAGAACTGTGCAGGATATGTATTGAAATTAATTAGTATGTCTTTTTGATCTTTTCAGGAAGAAAGATGTATTCCTATCCTGATATTTTTAGTTTGTTTTTAAACAAGTTAATTTTGCTGGTTTAGCACCTGGCAGTAAAACCAAATACTGACAGAGTCTCGTTCTTCACTGAGGTATTCACACCAATGTCCATTTTGCATTATCTGGGGAAAAAAAAAAAGAATGCCCAGAGAAGCCATGTATATTCGGTGAAATACTGCTCTCCTGTGTTCTTCTTCCTGGATTTCCAGATTAGTGTGCTGTCTAACGAAGGGCTGATGTGCAAAGTCTTCTGTGGCGTTGGCACTATTGACAGGAGAGGCTGACTCTAGAAGCGTGACCTTCTGTGGAAGGCGTGTGGCACTGGCAGAAATAAAGGTGTCGAGTAATAGGAGCAGACTCTGAATGCAACAGAGCAAATCAGATGAAAATCTCATAGTTCTAAACAAGTATTTACTTTGACCTATTGAAAAGGAGGAGGCTGTTATGGACTTAATTATATTAGTGATAATAGCTTATAAGCTACACTGATACCCAGGATACAAAAGCAAAAGATAAAATAAATGTAATCATAAGAAAAACGGTACTTCTTGCCATTGCATCTCCTCACTGGATATAAATCATACAGCAATATCTGAGAGACAGCCAAACAAGAGCCAGAGACCAGGTTTCTCTGACTACGAACTACTGTTTCTCTGACAAACTAAGGTCTGACCTTCAAAACCAAATCATTTAACCCCTGAACAATGCTGAACCTTTTTTTTTTTAAATGTCCATGTAGTTAATTATGGCCTATTGATTCAAGTGGGACTATTGAAAATGCCACAGTTAATTCTCACAGTGATTTTCACAGCAATAAACTGAGGATAGCGAATGCACTCTTTCTGTGCAATGCCATAGGATTTTCCTATGAGTCTGCCATTAAAATAAGAAGATACTTGGAAAGTCTTTGTTGCTGACCAGTTTAGAAAGACTTAAAATCCTTTGGGAAGTTAATTATCATATTGATAATTTTAGTGAAACCTATAGATCCCTTGATTGCAGCATTTATAATTAGGTTTCCTCACATAATTTTTTATAATTAAGATGATTGCCAACTACTGCAGTGCTATCCATTAAAACTACCTGGTTCTTGCTAAATAGTTTTTCAGGGCTAATTTACATGGTGATCACATAAGGAAATTTATTACCCGTGCAGTCATAATATGGCAACACTTCTGGCAGATTTTCATTTGTGCCAGCTAAAAATATTTGAAACAGTAACTTCTCCACTATAAGAGGCTTTTGCAATTTCATAATTCTTTGTACACGTGATTTGAGTGAGGCCGAGGACAAGCCTTCTTTTGATTTACTTGCTATAATGAATCTATCAGTAAAGCTTAAGTGGTTGAACACTCAATTTGTCTACTTTCTCTTGCTTTTTCTTTTTTCTTTTTCTTTTTTTGTTCCACTTCTAAGGCTTTTTTACCTAAATACTTGCGTTTTGCCTAACAAAAATAAGTGTTTCTGTTGAGAAACCTTGTATTTTTGGTTTGATATTGAATCTGCATCTGAAAAAAAATTCAGTACAACTTTGACTTAATAAAACTATGGGGAAAAATTAACTTAATCCGAGCACAAGGGAAAGAAAAGTAACAAGCCATCTTCATCCACAAGTTTTAATGAAGCTGGCTGTTGTCTTTTAATTACTGAGCTTTTGGAAGTTGTGTATATTATTGATCAAAAATGCTGTCAGTGATGGGCGTAATTTACTTTTTGTTTTGTTGAATTCATTTTAAATTCACTCAGGATGGAAGCTTTGCTTTCCTGTATATCTATGAAGACTGTCACCTTTTAAAATTTAAATAAAATAACACAACTTCAAGTTAGTAGAATGAGGGATCAAAAGTGGATAAAACCTATATGCTAAGTAACTCTATCAATACAATCATCATAATTCTGCAAGTAAGTCCTTATTTGTTTTAGTTTTTAGTAAGATTAAAGAGTTGTGCAGGCAATGCAGGAGTTTCCTCGATTGTGTTGCTGACAATTTCCTAATGCTGCTAGAGGGGAGAAACAGGAATAATTCTCTGCTTGACCTGCTGCTTATGAAAAGGGAAGAACTAGTGGCAAAGGTGGTGATAAATAACAGCTGGGATCAGAGTGACCGTGAGTTTGTTCAGTTCATGATTCAAAGGAAGTCTGGAAAGATAGTCAGCAAGTTATGACTATAGATTTCAGAAGAGCAGACTTCAGCCTGTTTGGAGAATTGCTAAGCAAAATCTCTTGGAATGCTGCCACAGAGACATAGGGTCCATGAAAGATGGATGATTTCTAAATAAAACTTACTGAGAACTCAGGATTGAACCACTCTGTTGAGCAGGAAGGAGGGGGATTCAGCAGAAGGCCTTCTTGGCTGAGCAAAGAGCTTTCTCATGACCTAAAATGCAAGATGTAGACAAGCGTTGCTTGACTGCTTAATGACAAAATCAGAAAGCTGATTGATTTGAGCTAAGACTTACAAGGGTCATAAAGGAAAACAAAAAGTGATTCTGCAGGTGTGCTACTTTCAAAAATGAAGGTAAAATTTGATGAAGAGAAAAACTGATGAATAAGGGAGAAAACAATGTAATGACAGACAATATAGAAAAAGCTGAAGTACTCAACATCATCTTTGCCAGGCATTTAAGGACCAGAAGGTAATTGGAATAGTCAGCATAGCTTTACCGAAAGCCTGGTTGCCTTTCCTGATTGAATGACTAGCTGCATGGATGAAGGAAGAGCAGTGGCAGCCCTATCCCAGCCAGTGTTACAGCACAGATGCTGCCCTGAGCAGGAATGCCTCTTTGCTGGGTGAAAACACAGCTGACTCCAAAGGCATACCTGACCCATGCCATAACTCCCACAGATGTGCATCTGGGATCTGCTGTGGGACACGTGGTGATTCCTCTTCTCTACTAGTTGCTCTGGGGAGTGGCTGCAAAGGTATTTCTCACACCTCTTCTGTGGGCAG